TTCGTAGAAGGCCGATCATCATGTTTCATGTTGTATATGATGTCAAGCCATTTGTTGTAGAAGGCCTCGAGTTGGTCATCTCCATAGTAGCTGAACATGTACAGATTGTGAGCGTTGTATAGAACTTCAGTATGGTCAGGTGATTTGAAACTAATCAAGATCATTGCGAATAATTCTCGTCCCTTAATGAAGTCTCCGCTCTTCCCATACATCTGGTTCTTCATAGACATGTCATACTTCACTTGCATAGACTTGTCCCCAGCATTGTCGATGACCTTCCTCAAAGCATTGGAGAGCTTAGCATCAATGGATTGGAATTTTACCTCAGGTGCTTTGGCTAATGTTTCCAAGTCCGGCTGATCTGTGAGACATGGGGCTAGCCACGCTTTCCAATCTTCATAATGTCTGTCTCCACTTGCAACACAAACTTCATGAACGACACTTCCTTTCCAAGATGAAAGTTCAGTGGTCTTAGGCCAAGGTTGTAGGTTGATCTTCTCCGCTTCTCTTTGAGAGATGGAAGATTTAGATTTGTCCTTCTCGAGGTTCTCCAATTCAATGACGTTGGTGTTGTATTCGTTCCTGAGTTTCTCAAAAGCCTCGGCTTCGGCACGAAACTCTTGTTCTTCGTCGTTAGCACGATCTTCAGCTTGGGAAAAGTTATTCTTGTAGTAGTCCTTACGCTCTTCCATCTTCTTCAGTTCATCACGAAGAACATTAACTTCTGACTTCTTCTCTTGTTTCATCTCTTCCAGTTCAGCTTTCAATTTGGCACATTTCTCTTCACACTCGTTCCTGGGGAAAGCATTGTTGGATGATCCATACATTATAGCTTGCAGGTTCTGTGTAGAAGAAGAAGCGGCCTGGTTCTCGAGCTTCAGTGCAGCGATGGTGTTCGACATTTCCTCCATCTCCGTTTGACGTTCACTGACAAGATGGTGCATTTCTGTCAGGTGACTTTCAGGAATCGAATAATCTGTTGCTCCCTTGATGACGATCCGTCTATCATTCAACATACTGATAGCTTTACCGGCATCACGATGAGCACGACTGAGGGATTCCTCCTGTGTCGCAACTTCAGTGTTGAGTCGATTGATTGCCTCATCTCTGTCACTGATCTCATTGTGCAAAGCGTCAAATAGGTTACTGGAAGTGTTTGGATTGTTGCTCATGAAGTCGATCCTTCCCAAAGCATCCTGGTACTTCTTTCCCAGTGAGTCATATGAGCTTTGATAGGTCTTGAGCAGTGCCTCATTGTCGATAAGCTCAGCCCTAGTCCTCCGCAGCATAGCGTCAACGTCACTCTTGGATTTCATGGCCTTCTCGTACTCACCATGCAATTGATTATACATCTCGTAGTAAATCCCATGTGATGGAGAAACACTTGGAGATGCATGTCTTGCTTGTTGGCATGAGAGTTCATGATATTGATTCTTTGATTCAGTCAGTTGTTGTTGCATTCGATCCAAGAGGCTTTGCTTCATGTGTAGCTCAGATCGTAGTTCCATGATCCTCATATCACGCATCCCGCTCACCTTAGAGGTCAACTCCTCAGAATACCGACTTTCCGATGTGGCCAGTTGTGATTGTAGCCCTTCATTGCGGATGATCTGTAATTGAAGTTGTGATTCCTCCAGAGCTAGATGATGTTCACATTCAGAATATCTGTTGTGTTCGGATCTTAGATCGCTACGAAGTTCTCTCATGATATCTTCCCTCTTCGCATCAGCAGAGTCAAGCTCCGTTTCCAACCGTCTGATGTTCAATGACATAGTGCTCTTCATCGTTTGGTTCTGATTTGCGATCTCGAGCATCTCAATGTGAAGTGCGCACGTTTGGTCATTGGCATATCCGACAGCCAGGGCTTCCTGCTTCGCATTCATCTCTGCGTTTTCCAGTTCCCGTCTGAGTTGATTGATGTGAGCGTTTGCGTCTGTACCCACGTGTACCATGATTGCATTCGCTTGTCCCATTTGTTCACTGAATTCAGATCTCAATTGTGAATATCGAAATTCCAGATGGGATGCTGCTTCATTTGACGTAGTCCGATACCTCTCCAGCTCTTCAATCCTGTAAGTTGCTCCTTCGTCCTCTTGCTGTGCGGCGAGCAGCTCAGAATTCAGGGCTTGAAGCTGTTGAGCCATCGATGTCATCTCATGATGGGTGGTGTTCTCCAGATAATTGAACTGTTGGTCAGCATAGGCGGCCATTTCGGTTAATCTCGCCTGGAGCACAGATTCCTCTTCAGTAGCTCTGTCCAGTGATGCTTTGTACTCTGACAGTTCACTCTGATAGGCAGTGAAGACATCGCTACCACTTGATGGAGCATTCACTTGTTGAAAAGATCCTACTCCTGATGGTGTAGCGTCCTGAATCGGTGAAGGCGGATTCGAAGATGTAGGCTTCGCCTTAGTCCTCGGAGTCATCGGAGGCGACGATTGTCGTGCGGACGATCTCCTCTTTCCAGGTGTATTGTCCCTGTCTTCGATTGCTTGCATTGTCGGCATTAATCTCCCTCTCGGGGCAACCAGAGGTCGTCTGGATGTGCTAGGTCTCAGTTCTGAGGTTTCGCTTCCACCAGTATCGAAACTCTGTGAAGAATTTGACTGCGTGCCGGCAGCTGGTGCGGCGGCATGTCCAGCAAATGAGAATGCGTTATCGCTACTGTCCTCTTCAGCCATTGATTGCAAGGTCCGCAGTTACCCGCTCGCAGGCTCCGTGGGAGACCTACGGCTGATAACCTGTGAATCGGACGTTCCCTATGATGTGTCCTTTTTCTCGTAGTTGAGTGATCTGTTTCGCGTTTGTCAATGGTCAACCGGAGGCGAGCTTCAGCATTGCTCTTTTCTACTTGGACTCTGCAGTACGGGGTCTTGAGCCAAAAGGACCAATAGTTTTGTGGCCCCTTGGCATGTGGAAAGATGGCTACATGAATGGGGGGATATATATTGTATCCCTACTGTACTCCCATTCGCATATAATATGATAAAATATATGATATATATATACTATAATATATATATAATATATATAATATATATAATATATATAATATATATAATATATATATAATATATATAATATATATAATATATATAATATATATAATATATATAATATATATAATATATATAATATATATATAATATATAATATATATAATATATAATATATATAATATATTATATATAATATATATAATATATATAATATATATGATATATATAATATATATAATATATAAAATATATAATATATACAATATATATAATATATATAATATATATAATGTATATAATATATATAATATATATAATATATATAATATATATAATATATAATATATATATATATATATATATATATATATATATATATATAATATTATAATATATAATATATATAATATATATAATATGTGTAATATATGTAATATATATAATATATATATATAATATATAATATATATTATATTATATATATATTATATTATATATATTATATTACATATATTATATTATATATATATTATAGTATATAGTACATATATTATATATATATTACATGTATTATATATATTATGTTTTATATATATTATATATTATATTATATATATTATATAATATATATATTATATATTATATATAGTCCCTTATATATATTATATTATATATTATAGTATATAGTACATTTATTATATATGGATATTATATATTATATATTATATATTAGATATTATATATTATATATTATATATCATATATCATATATCATATATATATTATATTTTATATATCATATATTATATATATTATATAATATTATATATATTATATTATGTATTATATATATATATTATATATATTATATATTAATATATATATATTATATATTATATAATATATATATATATTACAATTATATATATTATATATATTATATATATTATATATATTATATATATTATATATATTATATATTATATAATGTATATATATTATATTATATATGTATATATATTATCTATATTATTTATATTATCGAAATTATCGATATTATCGATATTATCGATATTATCGATATTATCTATATTATCTATATTATCTATATTATCTGTATTATCTATATTATACATAATAGATAGTATATAGAGATTATATAGAGATTATATAGAGATTATATAGAGATTATATAGGTATTGTATAGAGATTATAAAGAGATTACTATATAGAGATTATTTAGTTATTATGTAGAGATTGTGTAGAGATTATACTCTAGATAGATATTATATAGAGACTATATAGATATTATACAGTGATTATATAGATATTATATAGATATTATATAGATATTATATAGATATTATGTAGATATTATATAGATATTATATGTTTTATAGATATTATATAGATATTATATAGATTATATAGTATATAGATTATATAGATATTATATAGATTATATAGATATTATATAGATTATATAGATATTATATCGATTATATAGATATTAGATAGATTATGTATATAGATATTATAGAGGTGTTATATAGATTACTGTATAGAGACCACTGTATATAGATATTATATAGATTACTATATATAGACATTATATAGATTACTGTATAAAGATATTATATAGCTTCTATAGATACTATATAGATATTATACAGATTATATAGATATTATATAGATTCTATAGATATTATATAGATTCTATAGATATTATATAGATTCTATAGATATTATATAAATTCTATAGATATTATATAAATTCTATAGATATTAAATAAATTCTATAGATATTATATTTATATAATATTTTTAAATATTACATAGATTATTCATAAATTCTATTCTTTCTTTATAGATTATATAGAGTATATACATTGTAGAAATTAAATAGATTATATAGATAACCTAGATATTATGGATTATCTAGATTATATAGATTACATAGATTACATATAAAAAGAGATATGAAAGAGCAGGGGCACAGACCGCCCATGTCAAGGTCATTGCCCAGGGCACCTGACAAGGGGGGGACAGTGTGAGACTCTTTTGGTGTAAAGTCAGTTTTGGTAGTTGTGTCTTGTGAAATTTAAAAGGAAAAAAAAGTAGGCCACTGGCCCCTTTGGTACAAAAGCCCAATTCTTGTTTAAACTTGTTCGCTGCAACCCTGACGTTGCTCCGCGTCTGACTTCAGGTGGCTATAAAGGAAAAATTGATCTTATTACCCCAATCAACATATTGTTCAGAGGGGGTGGCAAATTTCGACCCCTCAGGAAGATAAAGTTGATGTTATTTCCCTAGTCAACATATTGTTCATAGGGGGTGGCGAATTTTGATCCCTCATGGAGATATAGTTGATGTTATTACCCCAATCAACATATTGTTCAGAGGGGGTAGCGAATCTTGACCCGTCAGGAAGATAAAGTTGATGTTATTACCCCAGTCAACATATTGTTCATAGAGAGTGGCGAATTTTGATCCCTCATGGAGATATAGTTGATGTTATTACCCCAATCAACATATTGTACAGAGGGGGTAGCGAATCTTGACCCCTCAGGAAGATAAAGTTGATGTTATTACCCCAGTCAACATATTGTTCAGAAGGGGGTGGCGAATTTTAATGTGATGATGATCATGATGTGATGATGTGATGATGGTGATGATGATGATGATGATGATGATGATCATGATGATCATGATGATCATGATGATGATCATGACGATTGTAAGTGTGGAGCAACGTCCGGGTTGGGGCAAACTTGTTTAAAATGAAACGAAAAATTGTTGGTTATTCATTTCAACACGTTGTTCTGTGATGTCTTGTCTGCTTACTTTGACCATCTTTGACCTGCCTTCTCATTTGGCTTTAAATTTACGGCTGTGTGACTACTCCGTCAGCCATTTTTCTCCAGTACTGTCTGTCACGGACCTTGTTGTGCTGCACCATGGCCAGCAGGGGCGTAGCCATTCCTCCACTGTCTTTGCTTCCAAGGAATTCATTAACGCTTCAAAGAATGCCATGCCAGAAAAGTGAGGCAAGCCCAATGCAATCAGAAACGATCCCAAATCCAAACACTGAGCACAGTCAAAGAACGCGGATTTGCGATCGCCATGGGTAAGACAGTAAGACAGTAAGACCTCAATTAGCACCACTCAGGTGAAAGAAAAGTATACAGTATACTCAAAATATACTCAATCAAACATGTCACTCCCTTGACAAAATTAAAGGATCCGAAGTCTTGTCACAACAAAAAAACACCAAAAAGTCTCTCCTCGCCAGGCTGGCAGGCGGTTGCCTGTATGCTGCAGCACCTAAGCCCGTTCATTCACTTCAAATGGGCCAAAGCTGCGACTTTGAATTGCAAGCATACCACGAAATAAAACCATCCTGCCATGCTTCCTCTCGCGGGCATGCGAGTTTTGTCCAGGTTCTAAGTGATGCTCATTGCATGATGTGGGACTTTCAAAATGAGGAATCCGAAACAATCAGGTTGGGATCCAAATTAACGTAAACAGATCCCGATCCTTAGGCATCCTTAGTGGCTTCACTTTCATAAAAGGTTTACAGGCCGCCAACCTTTGTAAATCCCTTGCAACACCATCTTGGGATCTATTGTATCGTTCGTTTGTGCACAGGTAGTGGCAAATCCCAAAGTGGAGCTACATTCGATCTACCCTTTCCTTCTGAGGCCGTTCTCATCAAACTGAGCTGGCCACTCGAACTCAAATTGCTTAGACCTCTCAGGCCGACCAGAGATAGCAGAGACTGCATGGCAATAGTAGATGTTTGGCACCCTTGGTCTGTGCTCGATGATAATTTGTCTCCATCAAAAGAGCCTGCCTGCATCATTTCCAGATCGAGGATAAACTCCAGGACCTGTTTCCTCAGTGCAGAGCCGACTTTTGAGGACTCTACATCTACATAGTGCAGCGCTTTCAGTCGAATCAACGTTGATACCCCCTTTGCCAAAAGCATTCCAAACTGATTCTAAACCAGATAGAGCCGCCATCCATATCCTCAAAAGCAAATTCATACTTGGGCCACTTGGGAGGACAGTCTGACGTCTCTAAGATGTCCAGACGTACTCGATGCTGTGCTTGTTGTAGGTCGAATGGCCTCACCGCATACAAAGCAAGGAAACACATGAGAACAAGATGGAACAAGAATCTGAACGTTTGAATGACAAAGTCTGACGTTTGAAAATGTTCTCAATGACTTTGCTTCCAACACATCGGCCAAAGAGTGTCACACCTCCATTCCAAGTTCCCATTCCCATGTAGTTTTCCCGGGTGGGAGTTGGACCGTAGCCAGGCGTAGCCGGCGGCCTGACACGCGCTGAATAGATCTTGTTGGTGACTCTCTCTGAGACTCGTCAAATCATCTGCAAAGATCTGCAAAGTAGGGGAAGTCAGTCCATAGCAGCAAACACTAAGACTTAGAAAATCACAAGTTGGAGACCTGGTACTGCAACACCCATTCTTTTGCAAATCTTGGCAAGATGGGAATGGCTAACGTCCGACATTTCACTTTTCCCGAATTGTTCAGTTCAAAATGTTCAAGCCCATTTATCTACCTACCTACCTAGCTATCCATCTATCTATCTACCTATCTATCCATCTAACTATCAGTGATATATGTGTACATATATATATTGTATATATTATACATAATAATTCCACACTACATATTATATCATATTATATATATACTCTATATATATACATATTGTTATATTATATATAGATATATCTGTCTTTCAGTGCCAAAGTGCGCTCAAGGCCTGGCTGACACATTGTTTTGTCTTTCGTGTTCAGCCAATCCCTGGAGCACCGTGAGGTCCTTCAGGTCTTTGCCTGCAGCACCGCCAGCATCGCCAGCATCGCCAGCACCGCTGCGTTTGTGGTTTTGGTTCAGCTTGGAATGAAATCAGACACATTTTGGAATCTTCAAGTTTCTCAGGTTGTCTGACACCAACAAAACTTGCACACTGACAAAACATCACAGAACTAATGTGCGGTGGGATTGCGAGATTCGCCTTTTTTTGCAACAGAACGCGGCACAAAAATGGATTTAAAGCAACAAATGCTTCTTAATCGCTCTTTGGACTCTTTGGATTCCATTTTTAAGCTTGAATCTCAACACAGCCTTGCCTCGGAAGATAATGAAATCATAGATCTCATTCGACATGGGGACTTCATGCTGCCTGAACAGAGGTAGCACATCACAAACTCTCCGAGCTGAGCACTGATTCTCTTCTACACTGGAAAGTTTCTTCCCCGCACGTAAAAAATGTGAATCCTTTGTTCTTCTGCTCATCGACGAAGCAGCTGATAAGGAATGATGTCCCTGTCTTCTGCACATCCCAAAACAGTTTTCTGCGACATCTGAGCAGCAAACCCTCGAGCGCCATCTGTCCGTCCTTCTGTTCCAAAGGATCTGACGTTCTGGACCTGAGACCGGTTCAAAGCAGCACATTGTTTAGTCCCATGTAGTCCCATGTAGTCCCATGTAGTCCCATGTAGTCCCATGTAGTCCCTAGGGTTGGTGAAGAAGGGCGGTGCTTTGGAATTCAAACATGATTAAGTAATGAGATGACAGACGCACGTACTGCTGCGTACTGTTTTGCTGGATTCGCTACTTTCCTAATTTCCTTCAAGGGTATGAGTCTGAGGGCGAAACTGCAATAGTAGACTCCTCCTTGTTCAGCGAGTAGAGCATCCTCGGGAGTATTTCTCTCCAATAACGCGGGATCACCGTGAATAGTTGGTGATATGGTATGGTCAGTAGTTTGTCAAGGGGTGCAAGTGCATTTCGAGTGTTCTATCTGCCAAGAGGTGGGTGGGCTTTAGATTGAGTTGCCTTTCGACTTATGACTCAGTGTCTTGCCCCAAACATCCCAAAACCATTTGTCCCTTGAGTCCCTTCCTTTCCGTTTCTTGTAGTCGGGTAGGTGCCCAGGTGACAGCCCCGAACTCCACTACTTCCCTTTCTTTACTTTTCTTTCTTTCCTCTTTTGAACTCCCAAATAACTTTTTTGAACTACATTTTTCCCCACATCCTTGTGCGAGGTTCTTGTGCTTTAGCCTTCTGTATCCCCACTTCCTTTTCTCCCCCTATGTCAGCCGTCGACAATAACTTTGGTCAAACAAACATACCTCTATGAGATTTATTTCATTTATTTCCATGAAATTGATCACTGTGAAACCTGTCTCCATCAAATTTCTCTCGGTCAGCCTCCCTCCATCAAATTAATCCCTATCATTTATCCCTACTAAGTTTATCTTGTAATCTTATCCATCAAATTATTTTCCATTTCTCCGCGAACCTCTGTGACACGCAACTGCATCTCGTGCGACAGGGGCAACGGTTTCTTGACTTCATGCTGAGTCTCGCGTTTGGTTTTGGTCCCGAGGCTGTTTTAAGTGGCAGGAGCCGCACTTTGTGAGTCTCAACTCCTCAATTACAGTAATCTCAACCACACTTATCTCTACCCTATTGTTTCTACCATTTTTTCTCTACCAAATTTAGCTCTATCAAATTTACCTCCATCAAACCAATCTCGATCGATTTTCCCTGTATCAAATTTCAGTAAACATAGCTTTATATACCAAATTCTACCTACCATTTTTTACCACATTATCTCTGTCAAACTTGTGTTCTCCAGTTTTTTCTGCGCCAACCGCATCTCTACCAGTAGTGCCCGGCTGTGCCGAGCATGGGTGGGTGACATGGGCCTTCACAGGTAGTCACCATGACGGGACAACATCCTTCTTTCCCAAGAGAACAAAAAGAAAGACACAAGGGAGACGAAAGGAGTCAAAGGGAGCCATCGTGACAGAGCACTCTCCAAAGCAAACCAAAAGGCGGAATACAGCTGGGAGTCAAAGAATGACAAAGTGAGTCAAAGAGAGTCAGTGGAAAATCGCGACGCAACCGCGCCCTTTCTCGAAAGCCCGCAGGGAATACACATGGGAGACAAAAGGGAGACAAATGGGAGACAAGGAGTTAGCACGGAGAATCATGGCGGATCGGAATCTCTTTACTGAGGAAAGAAGAACGGAAATAAAGGGGAACAAGGGGAGACAAGTGAGAGACAAGTGAGAGACAAGTGAGAGACAAACAGGAAACACGTCGTGGTGGAACAGGACCCATGTGCTGGGAAAGAAAAAGGTGGAAAAAGGGAGGGAAAATTTTGGCAGAAAGTGATCCGCTTATTGAAAAATGAAGCAGGGAGACAAAAAGAGACAAAGGAATACAACTGGGGAAGAATCATGGTGGAATAGGATCCCTGCACTGAGGAACGAGGAAAGGAGACGAATGGAGACAAGTGGAGGACAACTGGGAGACAAGTAGCCAACATGGCAGGGAGACAAAAGGAAACAAGTCGGAAACAAAAGGGAGACAAGTAGGAGACAGGAGACAAGGACGAAACACAGAGTATCATGGTGGAACAGGATCCCTGTACTGAGGAAAGAAGAAGGGACAAAGAGAGACCAAGACATGGAGAAAATCATGATGGAACCATATTCGTTTCGGCAAGCCTTGAGAACCACATCAGCTGGTAGCTATTTTTCTATACCAAACTTCTCTGCTTCGCACTTGTCCCCCAAAGTTATCTCTATATAGTTCTATACCAAACTGTTCACCTCCAACAATCCCAGTTCTACCAAACTTACATCCATCAATCTCATCTCTTTTCTTCACGTCGGCTTTCTGCGTGGGATCCTGCTCTTCCCTGCTGCATGGTCAAAGGAAAGCCTAATGCCCACACACCGCGCTGCCAGTCTGTTGCTGCGCTTGGAACGCTTGGGAACTTCCCAGGGACAAAAGGCAGGGCAAGCAGAAACCTTTTCTGGATTGTGGCAAAACATCATCCTTTTGCAAATTAATTACAGTAAACCAAAAGTAAGACAATGGGAGACAGAGGAAATGAAAGGAAGCCACAAGGAGTCACCATGACGGAACAGCCTCCTTCATCCCAAGCAAGCCAAAAAGCACATAGGAGAATTGGAGACATGGGTGACATGGGCCTTGACAGGTAGTCACCATGACGGGACAACATCCTTCTTTCCCAAGAGAACCAAAAGAAAGACCAAGGGAGACGAAAGGAGTCAAAGGGAGCCATCGTGACAGAGCAAGATCTCTCTCCAAAGCAAACCAAAAGGCGGAATACAGCTGGGAGTCAAAGAATGACAAAGTGAGTCAAAGAGAGTCAGTGGAAAATCGCGACGCAACCGCACCCTTTTTCCAAACACCTGGTCTTGAAGATTGAACGGCACTGTTTCTTGAAAGCTCACCACAGGGAATACACATGGGAGACAAATGAGGGGATCAGTATTTAGCCAGAGAATCATGGCCCATCCGAATCCTTTGACTGAAGAAAGAATAAGTGCGACAAAGGGAACAAGCGGAGTAGCTGTTTGGGGGAAAAAAATAAGGCAGACTGGATCTTTGAAATCAACATCAAGTTAGCTGTCTCTGTCTCTCTGTCAACACAGGAAGCGCTCTCACATACCTCTTGTAAGCTCCTCTAAGCTCATCTGGACTCATCTAAGCTCATCTAAGCTCGCGGCCCCTCGTATCTTATGTCCGAGGTTGTAATTAAGCTGATCTTGCTTCCAATGTAGGGCACGCCAGTCGACATTGCCTCCCCCAAGGCAAAGCAAAATGTTCCAAAGTGAAAGCTTATATATGATATAAATATGGAAGCACTTTGTCCAGATCAACAGCTGAGGTGGGGACAGCCAAGGCGTGCAGGAAGTTCTCCCAGCCTTACATGAATGGTTGATAACCACCGGCCGTTCGGAACGTATGAAAACACAAAGTGATGTCAGTGATATCCCATAAGGATCATTGGCACCAGCTGATCCAAAACCAGCTGAAAAGCCCTCCAGGGCTGTAACTATTCACTGATACAGAACCACACCAAGGTCGAGCGCGGAGTGGTGCGCCTCTCAAGTTCGGTCATGAAATCCTGTTGAATGCCAATTCCATCAGTTCCATCAGTTCCACCACTCCCCCACAAGAGTCTCCACGACTCCACGACATGTTCCTACAGTTTTCCTAACGCTTCCCACTCTTGCCTCTCCGAGCACTAGATGAGTCTCAGCCAAGCTTGCGCAACATGATTGAGCCAATGACTTATGCTGCGTGAAGCAAGGTGTTGCAGCAATCAGGCTCAGAAGAGTGAGTCAAAGACAACAGCTACTTGGTTTGCTGCTAAAAATTCCTCATACGTTGAATCATCAACCGTCCCATTAAGAGGGTGTGGGTGTCTCAGCAGAGCTCAAACCCAGAAAGATCATAAATCTTGCCCTCAATGACCAGTTACCACACACAAAATTTGCATTGCACTTTTTAAGATGAAACACACCCATGAAACACGATGGAACACACCCATCTTCTCGTGGGATACTTAATGTTTGATCAGCTGAGCTCCCCATTTTCCACGCCCGGTTCATAGGAGCTCAACTCACAATTAATGCACCTGGCATCGCCCGAAAACATAAGCTGTCGCACTGGATGTAGCTGTCTAATTTATTTCTTCCGGAAATGGTGTGGAAAAACTGATCTTTTATGTATCTCTGGCCTGGTAAACTGATCTGCTACATCCAGGAGCGAGTTTTCAGAAGCTCTTCGCTGGATTCTCAAAACAAAAATGAGATACGCCAAGGCTGAGAGAAGCTTGGCAGGTTTGCGGATCTGATACCCTTCGAGACCTTTTCGGCTCAATGGAAACAGATCAAATCCTATCAAATCCTGGCAACTTAAAGTCCAGGGGCACTGGATCTGAAAATGAAAAGCTGAACCTGCTGAATCTTGAACTGTTCTTGCTTTTGGCCCCAGGACACGGAATGCACGTCACTATGCAAATGCAAGAATCTGTATAGCATATATGTATTTGTATGTGTTGTTTGTGTCTGTGTACATACGCATATTTATGTATACATAGTAGAGATATAGGTACATATGTTGAATATATTACGTACATGTATGTATGTACGTATAAATATGTGCGTATACTCCTGTGTTGTTTCAATACTTCTGCGGAGGTTTCACACATCACTACAAATCCTATTTCCTTCGGTCAGGCCGATTCACAGCAAGCATTCACAACGCAGACATCAACGTCCATATAGCTTCATCAGTGGGACCGTTACCAGAAGGTTTCTCAATGCACATCTCAATTTTTCTTTGTCTGGTTTGTTGCAATTTTTGCAACCACAGCTAGTCACACCTCCGCTGAAACATATCAATTTCCTGCAAAAGCAACAAAGGCAATACGTTCCAGCAAAGAAGTGATCGCGCAAAGCTGAAAAAGGTAAAAAGGGCATGATAGGGATAGGGCATGCCAACATGAACAACAAACGTGACGAAAAATTCTTGGAGCCTTTTCCTTCCTCTGCCATTTGACGAGCACGTTGAAAATGTAGCAGCGCCGTCTGTCGAAAACGGAATGGTAGTGTACCGAGCATTGCTGAAGGGCAAGTTTACTGCGACACTAATATGCTAGGAAAGGCAGGGCACCCACCTGCAGTTGTTGCAAAAAGTCCTCTTTGCCTGGAAGCACCTGAGAGATAAGCACCACATGGTACCACTATTAGCTGCAACAAGCTATCGTGTGAGAAAAGGTGTAGCCCTGCATACAGCAACACTGCTGCACGAAATCCGACCAAAACCACTCATCACAACATCCCCAACGACATAGGACACTTTTCTAAGGATCACAAGAAGATAATTTCTGATTGCATCGTAAAGGTGCATATATGTATACTGTGCATACTGGAGAACTTCTTGCACAAAGAAGAAGCAAGATCAAGGGTCACACTGGTTTTGCTCCTCCTCCCCAGGCTGGACGGTCGGAGTTCCTGTCATGTTTCCACCGTGTAGTCAGTGTAGTCAAACAATTCACGATTTCACAACCTTGAAATGCTGCATCTCATCAAACATGCCAAAGTTGCATATCCGTGAAATTCTGAATGTCTTTCTTGCCAGTCCTCGATGACAAATTGGCAAGTGACGGGTCATCCCTCAATCACAACCTACAAGGCCTGCTTGTGTTGCTTTGTTCCACTAGATAATGGCTCGGCTATTGTGAATTTGGCAGGGGCAATCACCAAACTTCCAGCAGCACCACCCGAAGTTCGCTGCCACACCAAAAGCAAGCGCCTTTTGCAGCGCCACAGCGTAGCCGGTATGGCTTCGAAGTTCCCACCCTGAAAAAGGGGCATTGGGCCAATACAGGCCACAAAAGAACACCTTAGGTTCCTGACAGCAGGTGCAGGCAGGTTGCATGGAGTGCAAACTGACACGGGGGGAAAGTATACGCTGTACATGCCATGCATTACCGCGGCCATGCAGTTGCACCCTGCTCAGTGATCCAAGTTTCTAGCTCACGCAGCAAAGAAATACCTCTGTCATCAGTGGCATATGGAGTAATCGTGCCAGACGAGCACGTAAGGGGCGAAAGCGCCTCACTCCATGCTGCTCATTCAAACGTCCAGAAGGCAAATGTCTGCATTGCGGCTGAGCATGCCACACTTCATCATCCGTCACCCAAATGATCTAACTCAGTGGGCACACATCAGCATGGTCAAAAGACTCAGTCAGCGCCCTTCGCATGACATCCACTCCAGCATCACGCTGTCTCTCAACGTTTTCCAGAAAGCCCGTGTTTTCTGCAAAATTTCTGTACTCTTGGGCGATGTGCTCCTGCTCGTGCTTCATCCTGGCAAAAAGAATTGGCAGAGCACGAGGCTGCGCAATCTCACCCTGGACAAGAGTCCAGGCTTGTGGCGGACATAGGTGGGGGCAATCACCACGCAAACCATGGGGAAGAAAACCATGAATTTCAGGCCAGGTTCAAAATTGGGCAGGACTGACTAAATGCCAGCGACTCCAGGCAAAATGCCTTTGGTGAAACCAACCTGCCTCATACACATCAGCGTCCTTGGGCTCAGGCAGGACGGCGTTGAAATACTCGCCTTGTCGTGTGCACCATGTAGGCATCGCCAGAGGCAGTGGCAGGCTTTCCCGTCTCAGCTTGCTGTTCACTCGATCCCTCCATTTCAATGTCATCTCCCAGTTCATTCTCACCCATCACATCCTCATTGATGACCTGGGATCGTTGAGGTGGTGGTTCAGCATCTTGGTCCATGTTGGCTTGGCGCTCTTGAGAAGGTTTTCGTTTAGCAGCTACATATTGAGGATTCCAGTCGAATCCAAGTCGGCCATGCCGAAGCCTGTTTGCAAGTAGTTGACGGCTGCTGGTTTTCGTAGGGCCATCAGCCCATTGACGTTCTGAAGAAACCCATCGCAGCTCTCCAGCCAAGTCTTGCAGAAGCTCTTTGATTACACGGATCTCCAGGGCAGTGCGCCGATCCGGAACACTGGCACAAAGAAGCAAAACATGCAGACAGCATCTGTGGCATCCGTTGCCTGAGCTGGCAACTCTGGGCAGTTTCATAGATCGCCGCTCAAGCATGTGGAAGCTATCCTCCTGGTACACCAAGGCATGCTCTGGCACCAGAAGAATCTTGCATCCCATCAGGCCGTGTAGAAAACGATGCACCAAAAAGTGTCACAAGTCGAAGCTGTTCCAACAGGGCCGAGGTTCTTGTAGAGCAAACCCACATCTCCGTTCTGCCTGGCGAACTTCAAAGTTCGATTGAGCTCCTGGGCTGTACTGACCTTCGCCTAGTTGACTTGTCCAGCAGCCAGTGACACTGAGGCCTGGAGGTGCGGTGGAGATTGCACACTCGGCCATTATAGGGCTCCACAAAATCCACGGAGCGCAGTGATCTCCTTCGAGGCCACATCAGGTCCATGCGACCGAGGAATGGCCATTGGGAGAATTTTTTCCACATAGGACTGTTGGGAAAGTTTCAGTCCATCGCCATCAGGCAGCTTTAAATGGAGCAGCCGCAGAACTGTAGGACATCACCATCCTTCCACTCATGACAGTTGAAAACGGACTGCAGTTCCTTGATGATTCTTTGCCAAGTCGACGAAGATGCACTTCCAGACCCCAAAGCGTTGTCGACAAACACACCATGCCGCATAACTGTCTTTCACCCATGGTACCAGAAGCAGATTCACCATCAGTGAAGTCGGCCTCAAAGGCCAAAAAAAGCAGCACGGTAGTGAGGCCTAAGACCAAGATCCTTCAATGTCCTTGTTGCCTCTTGGTACATCTTCGTGGTGCATCTCACTGTCCGTACACCGTTTTGAACAGAAGTCCCAGCAACCTCAAGAAGGAAAGCCGTTTGCCACGTCAGCTGTCCAGGCAGAACAACCAAGTAGTCGTCAGGCTCATCAGAATTTCGAAAGGTCCTGGAAGTAGTCGGGCTGCTGGTCTGCATCAACCTGGCTTTTGCCCTTTGATTCCCGTCGGGGTTCTTCGACCACTTGGTGAGGACACGGGCTGTCAAGGCGCGCTCAGGCTGAGCGTTCTCAACCGTGTCAAACCTCGAAAAACGACTGGAGCTCCTTGCTTTTTCCTCAAACTTGGCCGATCATCAGGAGAAAGCAGTCTCTCATTGATGGATTTGTTGGCCATCGCGCTGCTTGGCAATCTTGATCTTTGTGTGCCTGCCTAGACGTTTTGAAGGCAAGCTGGCAAACATACCAAGTTCACAGCGAACTTTGCCAGAGATCTGAAAGATGGTGCAGCTGGTCCATTCAAAGTGCAGGAACCGCTGCTCAGCACCAAGATCGTTGATGACCTGAAGTTTTCCATCAACTGTCTTGACAACAGTGGTGCGGTTGGCATCCAAGAGCGATCGGCACATCGCTGATCTCTTTGATCTTAAACAGGCCGCACAGGGTGTCTGATGACACAGCCAGCCTTGACTTCCCAATAGTCCATGGGGTCATTGGCCAAGTTGAAGTAGAAATCATCGTCGGGTGTCAAAGGAGTGCATGTAGCTGTCTGGAACATCTCTATCCTTCTGAGCATCCTTGTCATAGGGCTGGGATTGGTGTTGACAATGTTGCCGCATAGGGAGGATCCATCTGGAGACGTCGGTTTTGAAACTCCTCATTGATGCCGGCAAGCTCATAGAGATCTAAGTTGGCGGATGGAAAATCATCTCCTCGCCATTGAACTCCAAAAAGGTGCGAGGGTTCAGATCAACTTCACCAGGTGTGGCCAGCTGCAAGTCGAAATGAGGCTCGAGGGCTGCATGGTAGATCTCAAAGTCCATGGAGAGAGGCGGCAAGTACTCACCATGCAGGCCCATCAGCGCAGGCATCCACTGACTATCACCATACCTGATTTTGTCCGAGGAAAAGTCCAGAGCAATGCCAAGCTGTCGAGCGATCGGACGACCACACAGCATGGGCGTCTCACCAGGCACCATGAACACCTGGGCAAATCCATAGGGGCCATTCGCAAATATTGGCATTCTGGCGACGCACGTGGCTACACTTTGACCGTCACCTCCGAAATGAAACTTTCGATCTCATCCGTGTAGCCAAATTGTTGCATGTGCTTGAGATACCTGCTCATGGGGCCAGGCTATCGACTCAGTGGTAGGAGCAAGTCTCTTGTTGGGACTGCTCTTCTTTCACGGGACACTTGGCAGCAAAGCGTCCCCTCTGACCACATCGAAGCAGGAAGTGGTTGAAGCGCCATCTTCTGGAGTGGATGACTCAGCCTCCCAGTCACCATGCTGGTAGTAGATGGCGTCGTCATCGAAGCCTTGCTCATCGAAGCTTGCATTGTCATCCCATTCCCAGTAGGCATCATAGTACTGTTGATCCCAGCCCCATTCACCATCATCTCCATCCTCATCAAACTATAGCAGGCTCTGCCACCCTTTCCACGGTTCCATCTTTGGTCGTGATCCGCTGGGAGATCAGGTATAGAGCTTCCACATTCTTTGTCAGCTCAAGTTGCGGTGCCCTCAGGGTGACAAGTTGCCGTTGTTCTTTGGTGAGGCCACATTTCCGAAGCAAGTGCCAGCCGAACAGCAGTGGGAAGGCTAACACCATGCTTCTCCAGCTTCTTGTGCAGCTCCGCATGGTCGCTCAAGCTTCCTCTGAAGTCCAAAGTAGCCATCAAAGTCACTGGCCAGCTGCACTCTGGTATCGTATTCGAAGATCCAAGAGCTTGATGATGGAGTCAAAGGCAGAGGTTTTCTCGCAGTCATCAAGGTTGAAGGCTTCCACAAGTCTCCAAGCCGAACCTTGAAGACTGCCGATGATATTTTAAGCACGGCTTCACCATGTCCCTTTGTCGATCCCATCTTTCGGTAGTAGACGTGGATACGTTTCCGCCACTCCTTGTAGTCGGCGGGTTGGCCCGAGAACAAGGGGATGAAACTGTCTCGAGTGGTAGCATGGGCTGGGCTCGTGTCGAAGCCATACTCCACAACGTCCAAGGTGAAATCTAAGTAGGTGAGCTGGTCTATGCCCTTAAGGTTGGTCAAAACGTAGAGCTCCACCAAGGGTTCTCACTCACAGGCCAAGACCCAGTGGAGCCCGAAGCAACGTCCAAAACCCAAGGATCTGGCAGTGCTCCGCTACCAATGTGAATTTGGTAGTGAAAATCACCAAAGCTCCAGCAGCAACATCCGAAGTTTGCTGCCACACCAAAAGCAAGCGCCTTTTGCAGCGCCACAGCGCAGCCGGTATGGCTTCGAAGTTCCCACCCTGAAAAAGGGGCATTGGGCCAAGCAGGACAGGCCACAAGAGAACACCTTAGGTTCCTGACAGCAGGTGCAAGGCAGGTTGCATGGAGTGCAAACTAGCAGCTATATATTATTGGTTTTGCCAGCCCCGCTGTATTCTTGTGGAAGCTGAGGGCCCTCAGGGGGACTGAATATGGTTTGAATAATTTGAATGAATATGTTTTAAATATGTTGTGAATCCTTTGAGTCCACAAAACAGCCTCTTCCCAACCGGTGCGGGATGATCCAAGTATGCTGAGGCTGTTGCTGTTTCTGCTTTTCATACTCCTCCATGACAGCCTCCATGTGTCGCAACGAGATGCAATGAGATCCACTGACATATAAGAAGTATTCACAAGTGACATTTGGGGAGGATGAACCAATCAAATCAATGCAAGAAACTTCCAGAGCAACCCGCCTGATATCGGTTGGAGATCCACTCAGCAGCTTCTTGAGCATTAAATCTTTGTGCCTGGGCCTGAACGAAAGGCAGCGGCAGGATGGCGTTTAGACAGTTTGGGAATAACAGCGATATCGATTGATTAGCAAGTACGATGCTTTAGACTTCAATAGAAACTCACATGAAAGGACGTAAAGAACCCAGTGTTTAGAAAACACACGCCGGAGCGTTCACTTTTTGTGACGCATCTTCAGCTGCGACTTTCCAGATGTGGATGCTGTTGTCGTAGAAGGAAGCGGACGCTGCACGACATGAATTGCCGATCCTCGCAATCAAAAGAAATGAAAGGGTTCTGGAGTTTGCAGTCAGTCCACAAGTTTCCCTACCACAAGTTTGCTGGACAAAGTCCAAGAATGCTCTCACTGTGTCACTTCTCTCCTTTGAACCTTACAAAATGTATAGGCCAATAACAGCTAGTAGACTTGGGGAAGGACCCAGTACAAGGTGATACAAGGCGGTGCAAAGTACCACACTGCCACCAAGCGTCTGCCAGGATATCCCATAGCCTAAAGAGCCATGCGAACCTTCCTTTGCTGCTTCACAATATCCTCCTAAAGCGTTAAATGCCGCTGCTTCACCTTCATCTCCTTCATCTCCATCTTTCAGCTCAAAAATTGGGAACCCACAACGCATCGCTGCAACTGCAAAAAGGCCGCGTTTTTGTGAATGCCAACTCAGCTGGTAGGCCCCATCACCCAAGCGGTTGCTGCGAAGAAGAGGTGCCTTCATGTGGCGCAAATCAAAAAGCCTCACATGCTCATCGTAACTTCCAGTCAGGAGCTGAACGTCTTTGTTTGGATTGCAAGCCAAGGATATGACTCCGGCTTCGTGGGAGCGATTTGAAAACGCAGGTGAAGCATTCGGAGTTCGCAAGTCCCAACCACGCAGCAAGCTGTCATCAGCACCAGATAGGACAAGATTACTGTTCATGCGCGAGACCTCCACACACCAGGTTTCCAGTTCATGTTGTTTTCGGCTTTGGATTTGCTGTATGCCTGTTGCACCAGCTTTCAAATGATGCACCAGGCCATCCTGTCCAGTCACGACGATGCCATTTGCCTCCGCACAAAGGAAATGCAAATCTGACAAAGGTTTGCATCCATCCACCCGAAAGAGTAGCAGATTTAAAGCCAGTGAAGCCGTTCCACTACAACGTACTACCGACTCTTCCCCAGGGTTTGCTTTGCTTAGAATCCATGCTGGAAATTGTTTTCTTGAAGATCCACCTGGTACAGTGAAAAGCATTGAGAGAGGCAGCGTCCTCGTTTTGGAACCCAAAATAAAAACACTCAATTCAGAAGCACTCCATTCAGAACATGTCATTTCCTCATTTTAGAACACTGAAAACCAAAAGAAACATTCAATTTTGAGCAGTTCAAACATAACACATCAGAGTTGAAGAAAAACAAAGTTTTCGCCAGTTTTGTAACAATGAGAATGCCCAGATTTTGGCGGGGATTGCGGCTATGATGTTTGCAGTGGATGGGTTGAAGGGTCAGGGTGGATTCTGGTTGATTTGATGCGATTCAAAACGAGCGAATGATTGTGTTTTCCCAATGGAGGTTGTTCCCGTTCAGAGGAGTGACCTGGCCTCACCTGCGCCCCAACACACATGCGTCAGGATGCAGTCGCTCAACTGTTCCTTAGCAACCTCAGTGACCTCAGTGACCTCCTCTGCAGCAGCTCCAGCATGGTAAAGATATACTGTCCCATCGGCACAAGCGCACGCTACCAAAGGACTTGAAGACCATGCTATGTCGTAAACACCAGAACCTGAGCCAACACTTTTCACAAATTTGACACGTTGCAAGAGTTGGCCAGTAAACTCTCTTTTGAGGCAAGCAACTTTCTATGTTTGCTTCTACCTGCAGAATCGGAGTGCCACTGTCAGACTCCAACCGAGCCAAGACAAGGGCTCCATGCCGCACATTCGTCTCCTCATCATGTTGATACCTGAAGCCAATGATGTCGCTGGTAGCAAACCAATGCTGAAACCACACTGGGTTTCAAAACAATAAAACTATAGAACTTATATCTAACATATACGTATATATGGTCTCGTGTTCCGTGTTCCTACCCCCCGCCCAATGGTATGGGTCTCCAGGTAGCACCCCCTTCCATTCTATTGCCAAGCCATTGGCAGCATTTCTGAGGTCCAGCCTCGTATTTGCTAGGTCTTTGCAGCATTTCTGACTGCCAGCCTCGCCTTTACTAGGTACATGCTACCTTTTAGACGACCTACGTACCACACATACTCCCTCAAAGTACCTACGTGCTAGCTGTAGTCATAAATACATGTGCTATGTATGTACTTCCTATTTACTACATATATATATATATGCATATAAATACATATATATATGCATATAAATACAAATATACATATATGTATATATATATATGTATATACAAACAATTATTTATATAATATATGGTTATACATGTATACATATATAAAAACAAATGTTTACATATATACATATATATATACAGAAACACATATATACATATATACATACATATACATATACAAATACATGTACATATACATATACATATACAAATACATTGACATATATATATATACATACAAATACATATACATATACATATACATATACATATACATACACATGTACATATACATATACATATACATAAATATATATACATATACATATATACATATTTACATATATACATATATACATATATACGTATATACGTATAAATATATACATATACATATACAATTACATAAATAAATATATATATTTATATATTTATGTTCTGATACCTACTTTCTGCGGCCATGCAACATGTCATGTTGTGTGCTTTCATGCTGAAGATCCGAAGCAGCTGGCACATCCTTTTTTCTCGATTGGGGTGCAACGTCGATTGTCGCCAATGCGGCGCGCTCTGGCTATGGGTAGGCACAGAGGATTGAGATTCAAAGATGATCGATCTGTGGACTCAACGGAAGTCTAAGTTCACGATAGGAATGTTGTTGTTCTGGCGGAAATGGTTTCGAAAGAAACGCGCCAATTGAATCATCTGGATTGTCAGCCTCAACTTCAACAAAGTGCACACTGCACGTAAACGCTGTCGCACATTGATGAGGTGCAAAGAGGCTTCTTGCAGATGATGTTCATCCGTGAAGTCACTAAGGTCATCGACTTGACATATGATTTCGTGAGCCCGGGCCAATTCACGTTGGGTATGAAGAATTGGAGCAAAAAGGGCTTGAAGATCAGGTTGTACTGGTAGTAGTGCCATTGTTCGAAGACACTGGCGTGATATTGGAAAAGAAAAATTGACTTGGTACAAGATTGGTGAAAATGATGATGCATCACTTGATGCGTCATGAAAATGTTGGCATCACTTGGTGCAGTAGGGTGGGAGAGGTATAGGGACGAAAAACTTGGAATAATGAAAGGTCATGGACATGAAATCATATCACATTGCTGTATGGTGATGTGAAAATCAAGTTGTGATTGACCTGAATTGTTGATGTTGATTCATGCCATGGCCTATGAACATGTCCCCAGCAGCACTTGCTGCTTGTCTCACTTGAGACTGAAAAAGGATTCATCGGATCGTAAAATTCAGCAAGCACATCAAGAAACATGACTGTCCGACTTCATGTCCGCATAACTCATATATACGTATGTATACATACATATATATATTCGTTGGTCGTAGGTATATCACATAAAAATCTATCATGATTCTCATGAGAGTATTCATATTATATACAAATATATTATACAGGTATACACATATGTACATATATATCTATATATTCATTTATTTATTTGTATGGTCCAACGTTGTTCAACTGCCGTGAAATCGGCAAGCTGCTTTTGGACTCCTCGCAGTTCAGCGATGTCCAGATCTTCCAGCAAGTCTACAGCAAGTGACACGTGTGTCGGATAGAGAGCCCGTAGATTTCCAAGAGGCAGAAGGCTTCTTTTTAAGGTGCTACAGAATCGATATGAATAAATCTGTGCCAACTTGGTTATTGATCCAAACCCTGGAGCACTGCCTTCTAAAGGCTAGGGATAATGAAAAGATTCTCCCTTGGATTTGATACTACAACGCTTGGATTCAACGTGCCATCTGGAAAATTGTGAAGTAAAGATGTTGGCATATAGTCGTAGTATCCATTTGGGTCTCTCATGCCAAAAGCACACATATCTAAAGCTCCATAGGTTGCAGCATGCTTGGTGGGAAGGCGCTGGAAGCATTTCGTGAACCAAATTTTGGAGGAGGCTTGATTTTCAATACTGAAATATCTTCCGTGTTCAATTTGGAACATAGCGACTCTGGCGCAAAATTCAACCATTGGAAGGAAGATACTCTTTCCTCTTCTGATAAGTATCTGCAGGATCGTTGATATTTTGTAGTTGACTCCATGGACCACACACTGGTGCCATGTGAATGATCTTTGGTTGCTGTCGCTCTATGACTTCCATGGCTTTTCGCCGGGCTTCGGCTGTTAGCAAATCGTAACCTGTTCTCAAATCTATTGGTGCTCCTACTCGAAGTCCCTGCATGGATGCGGATTGACTGAGCTTTGCAGAACCCACTAAACATCTCCAGAAAATCGATCTTACCTTTAGTGAGTGGCCCCCAGGCATACTGACCACACTGGATTCTTTCTGATCCTACCAGTGATGCGTCACTGCATAATGCTGTTGGCAAAGTCATCAGTTCTGCAGGTTGTCTTCGAGATCGTTGTGCAGGCATCGTTGGCCGCGATAGCGGCACTGTTGGCCGTATTATCCGCACTGGCTAATGCGGCAGGATCGAGAGGTACATCAACCTCTTCCACTGGATTGTGGTCCTTTCGAATCTTGCTCATGTTGACCTTCACAATTCTAGTTCCTAGATCTACTCCAACCATACTTCCATCAACTGGAACCAACTTTCCTTTAATCATTTTCCTCCATGAGAACCATCGGATTTTATTTTGGATTTATCTGCTGCCTAGTAATATACATTATCACTGTTGAAATGGCAACTGCTCACAATGGCATGCTGCAACTCCTTTTTAAGACACGTGGGGATATCTGGAGCAGGTGCTGGACGGCTCAGGGTGAGGCCAGCTCTCAGATATACACTGATCATAGCCAAAAGGCGGTGATCACCAGTCTAAGTCAACCTGAGGAGCATGGTGTTCCTGGGCGACATATTGATTGAGGAGGCGCTGGAACTCCGTGATCTTTTGCAGCTTCCAAACGGACAAAAAGAAAATGGTGCAACGAAAGTTGTGAATTGTCAGCCGCAAAGTGAACATGGCGGCGGGCACAGGGCATCAGATGCTCTGAAATGATTTCCTACTCAAATCTTGGAAGCACTGGTACAGCAGAGACACGAACAAAAGCATGACATGAGCTCGTGTCCAAGATATCGGAACAAGCAAATAACAGAAAAACAGAACCGGTTGTTTTGGTCCGTCTGTCCGTCCACAGGAACTTCTTGAAAATCTTCCGAATGCTTGTCCTCTGCAATGGTCAGTTCCTCAACGGAAGCAAAATAAGACCACTTTTCCGCTTTTCCGACACGCGTCTTGGTCACAGCAGCGCGGAGGCCAGGACGTTGGAGAAGTGGTCGAAAGACACAATGTCATGCAATCAGCTTCAGTTGCTTAGATGTTGTGAAAACAGGCTTCCATTCCCGGAGCCAATCGTCGGGTGCACTTGCTCGGTGCTTGTTCACTTGGACTGGTAAGCAGTTAAGCCAATAATGTATCGTGTGTGACTGTGGCAAACGATATACCACCGGCATGCGTATGTCCAAGTGCTTGGCAAGGTTCATAAGGAAAGTTGTGAGCCACCGCGCTCGTTTCACGAAAGGAACCTCTGGCATTGATCTACGTGACTCCCATCGCAGTTTCTTTGTGTGAAACCATGGGCCTTTATCTGGGAACATCATCTGAAAATCTGCATACAGTTGAAACCATGACCAATATTGTATTATCCCTGCGTCATCATGGAGAGTGGATATCCATTCTGCAACATATGGCCAGTCTTCAAACAAGCAATGGCTTGCTGTATCTGGCAATGTCAGAGGAAACTTCCAGGGCTCCATACACGCTGGCGACAATTGCAAATCTGTTCGTGGTTCTTCCGCGAGTGTCTGTTGATCTTCCTGCTTGCTTCGAAGTAAAACCAACTTCCCTACTTCTAGAAAAACGTGATGAATTGCACTCCGCATCACTTCCAGTTCATCAATCTCTTCGACCAGTCTCGCTCGAACTTGCATAAGTTGAGTATGGTTACAAAACTCGTGCGCTGCAACCTCATCTGCGGCCTGGTTGCCCAACAAATCCCACCTTTCACAGCTGTCCGTCACTGTGGAGATGTCTTGGTGGCTATAGACTTTGACCACTCCTGTGAAAAATGGCTTGGCTCGTTGGACAGCTTCAAACAGTTGCTGCTGCAGGTCATGATTGGGCTTATTAACGCAAGCAACGAATTCGGAACACTGTGCAAAAAACCTGATGCGTTTAACGACGTGCTGGTTATCTATCCACAGTCGGAATTTGATTGCTTTTTGGTGCGCAAAATTTATGGCCTGGATGGCTGCATACATTTCTGCTCTAGTGACTGATTGAAAACGGCCTGGAAGGAGTCCTGAGGCTATCGGCACGTAGTCAGAAGGTCCTAACATGTCTGCAACCACCACACCCCAGGATGCAATTCTAGTAAGGCAATCTCTCGGTCTCAGGCAGGAACCATCTGTGAAAATGTCTAAACTCTCTCCTAGGTTGGCAAGTGGCGTGCAAAAACGTGTTGATGACTGGATGTCATCTAGCATGTGCCTGTATTGCCGCAGGGTTGTGGGAGTGGGAATCCATCCATGATTATATACTGAAGGAGGGTGGCTGAGGATCTTATTACGCATGTCAAGGGGGACCTCAACCCTGGCATCTTCGAGTGCTCTGCATT